GCGGAATCAGCCTTAAGTTATGAAAACTTGAATATGGAAGCACTACGCTGTGATGTGTCTGCGGAAAATCTTATTCAGGCATATTCTTGTGACTCAGTTAAGCACACAGGGTACACTCGAGACACTTCTTGTTGTGAATGTTACCGCCTTTGGTATTAGCAATCGGGTTACTCTTATAAAGTTACTTTGTGTATTTTGTGCATTGTGCGAATTCAATCAGTGTGAATCCTCGTAACTATAGTGCTAAGTAAACCCGCCTGTCACGCGGAGACCGGGGTTCAGTTCCCCGACGGGGAGGTCATTTTAAGCCTTGAGACATTTTTTACCAAACTAGATCCACTGTAATTTAAACTAAAAAAAATGTTGGTGTAAATCGAAGGACATGGTGGAAAAACGATGTTTGCCATTTATTTTTGGTAGAGTTTGGATGCTCGTGGATACTAGTTCCTTAGGTTTACTTCCTGTCCTTGTCACCATCACAGACCTGGATATACAGAACCTTTTCAACCAATTTCACCATTGTATTGCAGATATTTTTGGATGTTTGCGCTTTTGGGGATTGGTATTACTGGACTCTCAACAGCAATTGTCCAAACGGCTTAGAATCGGTGTTGTTTATTGTGCATATTTATCGAAATTATGTTTTCTGAAGTTGAAGAGAAACAACGGAAGTTACAGTTATCGTATCTTAGAGACCCAACGGCACAAGAATAGTCTTTACAATCTTCAGTAATTCTGCTTCATAGAAACAGCTTCTCGGTCACATTCACCACAGAAGTTACTAATTGAGGTTTTAAGATTGTTCAAAGCTTAATCACTATTCACTATTCACTTTTTTTCCCTCCTATCCCCACACCTAATCAATCGTGAATATTACCCACAGTTATCCAGGGTTGAGGCCTGTTATAAAGAGACGAGGCCATTTATGCAGCGAAAAGTCTTGTTATACAAAACGAGGCCGGTTATACAGAGACCAAGATTGTTATAGAGATCAATAATGTTACACAGAGATCAGGCCTATTATACATAGACCAGGCCTGTTACACCGAGACCAGGGCTGTTATACAGAGAAAACACTTGATATACAGAGATCACGGAGCCCGTATAGCTCAGTCGGTAGTGTATCCGACTTTTAATGTGATCAATTTGGCGGCAATCTGAGGGTCCAGGGTTCAAGTCCATGTTTGGGCGTCACGCTTATTATTTTTAGGCGGGATGGTGGGGAGGGGCAGATCTCGAAATGAGAAGCTAAAAGTGTTGATTTACTTTTCTACTATTTCAAAAAGATGACGTTAAATATGCGATTAATATCGTACTTTTTATATAAACTTTATCAGTTTCTTCTTTCCAAGTTAAATGAGAAACTTGTGGACATAATGCACAGAGCTAACGATGAGCTTCCTTGTTGGTCTCTGCCCACCTCCTTCCCTCAGCTAACACTGACCTTCTGTTTGAGTCAGACCTTTAAATGTCACAAACGCTTTGACCTTTAGTCACAACACAACAGGCTCTGGAAATCTACCTCTGTTATTCGAACTCAATCACTCTCTATGTGTTTTCAATCAAACCTAATCGCCCTCGTTTCCTAACGGCATCTCTAATATACCCTTTCTTGGAGTTTTAGGTCTGAACCTTCCACAATGTATTATGTTGTGTGAATTGCGTGTTATTGCTGTTGAATGAAAACAAATTATCCACATCTGACTGTGATAGCCGCACCCTTGCGTGATATTTATGCTAATAGGAGAATACGTTGAGCGCAATAGATGGAGTCATGTTACTTATTTCACTTTAGTAGATTATATTCTGGAATAACTCAAAGTTCAAATCAAACGGAAACCGACTCTACACATGTTTATGTGACATCATGTTCTTCAAAACCGCAGCAATCACGGAATTCAGTTCATCAGCTGAAACAACGTTTTATGTTTATTTCTTGCTTGAAATCTATGTTGGTTTCCAGCTTTACAAAACGGCCATTCTTTTCATAAGGACGGTATGTTATCCGGCTCCAACCAATTCAGTTCAAAGATTATGTGTTCGTTACTGTTCGAGAATGATTTTTTTATAATAAAAATTAAATAAATGTTCCCGCCAGGTTTCGAACCTGGGACCTTTCGCGTGTGAGGCGAACGTGATAACCACTACACTACGGAAACTTCTGTTAACTTATTATTGTACAGAAATGAATAAAACTGAAATATTATTCCACCCAACTTTCAGATCGTTCGCAAAATTGCTGAAATTCAGCGATGCGATTTAACACCTGACATTAAATTGAATCTTCAGAAGGCACATAGGGACATGGTTTATATTCGCTGAAATAGGAAATAAGAAGAATTCAAGGCCTTGCAGCCTGGATGGAAGCGACTGGTGCTTTGCAAGATTTTCAAACTAATGGCACCTGATCCTATCAAAAACTTTAATATCTGACAATTTATTTGAAAAGAGTTGCAGTTGGGCAAACAATTAAAATAAATCCTCAAATAGCTTTCTTAAACTTCAATCTAATGATTCTTGAAATTTTTAATAAAATCACTAAATGTTGTGCTATTTTACTCTACATATTTCAATAGATTGTGTAAGTATGAACCCGGCCTTCCGATATAGCAGCAAACAACATTTTAACAAACGTGGTGAGCTATGTTATTACATGTGTTTTGCAGACAAGGGCAAACATAGAATAGAGTGGCCGAGCGGTCGAAGGCGCTCGATTTAATGTCCATTCCGTTTGGGGACGTGGATTTGAAACTCACTGCTATCAAATGCTTCTGATCTTGTTTATTCTTTATATCGACCGCGTCGGATGTGTTTTCTGAAGAAAATCAGCTGTGTGCAGCAGGTACCAAGATGACTCCATGTTCCATTGATTAACCAGCGGCCAACGTTTTCTGTGCAATTGGCAATGCCCTGAGACTTTGGTATTATCAATGACCGTTCGATCAGTTTGATCCCATCATAAATTAGCTTCACTTCTCCAGCTCCAGCAATCCCTTTCATTGTCAAGAGGTAAATAACTTCCGACAACCAAGAAAAAGTAACAGCTGTTCCCGCTCAGCAATGAACCAAATGAGGAACGTTTTGGAATATTTCGAAAAAACACACCAGAACTAATCAACAAATTCAATTTAGCTGTATGTCTTTATAAAACATTCCAGCTCAGCGTGAGAAAATAATATACATCAGCAACTCTTGTATTTCTGACAACACTTCAAACTATTCTCCAAAAAACGTTCTTCCAAAATTAGTTGCTGAGTTGATCCAAATCAAGTTTTAAAGGCATTTGGATTTCATTTGGATATCAGTTGTGGGAGAACACGGTGCTGATGAGCAAACAATCCCATATCACACAGTGGTCAGTGGTTCCATCTGTTTGTATTCAGATTTCGCTTTTTGAATAACTAACTTAGTTATTGTTGTCATTTTTTGTCAATCCAGGGTTTGCCCTTAGCAATAATTATGTCAATATAAAGCTGTATTTTTCTAGCAAAGCGCTGTGTAGAAGTCTCTGTGGCGCAATGGGTTAGCGCGTTCGGCTGTTAACCAAAAGTTTGGTGGTTGGAGCCCACCCAGGGACGGTACTCTTCTGGAAGATACATATTATTCTTCACGTTTTCTTCGCATTTTCAATAATACCATGAACAGTATCAGTTAATCTCGCGACATACTCGACTCAAACAATCCACATCCTCAGCCTTCGATACGCTAAGAGGCCGGAGCTCACCAACTAGTAAGGTTACAAATTTAGGTGAAAATCGATTCAAAAGAATAATCACAAATCCACTCCCCACTTATTGATACATGATGCACAAATATTGTGTGCACTGTCATTGCTGATCATATTATCTACGAGATGATAAATCATCTTAAATGCTGGATTAACATTTTCTAAAATAAAATTCAGATTATCTCCATTATGCACCGCGTTAAAACATAAAACATTCTGTGTTGCAGGAATAAGTGAATACACGTCCAGAGCAGCAGCGAATAACACGTTGATTCTAAAAAATCATTGCAAACCGCTTCTTGTACTTGTAAGTAACTGCACTGTAATTGGAGGCAACTGTACAGCGGTGATCGTATAGTGGTCAGTACTCTGCGTTGTGGCCGCAGCAAACTCGGTTCGAATCCGAGTCACGGCAATCGCCATCGCTTTTCCTTTTAACATACTTTTGAAATGTTTTAAAATAATCTGAGTGCACAATTAATCATAATCTGAGATTTCCCTGTTTGCGTTTAATCAATAATAATAATAATAATAATGCTTTGATAGAGCGCCTTATCTTGCCTTCGAGACGTCTCCAGGTGCTTTGCAGGATATACATTATCTGTAAAAGGTCAGTGCCAAATATTCACTTGTATTCGCCGGTGGTAATATTTGATTATTTGAACTGCGATCTCCTGCGATGATAAAACAATTGAGGTTGGATATCAACATCTCAACCATTCGGCGATCATACTTCTTCAAGCATACAATATAATAATATATATGGATCAAATTTTTTGAAAGGTTAATATTGTAATTGGTGACATACAATGAAATATTCTCTTTATCAGCGTAGCGTCAGAGACGCATCATCATGATTATTGCAAGTTGGAGCCTTCTAACCATCCTGACCATACAAACGAATTCCTGTGTTCAGAACGGAGTTTACCAGGTTTAACAGGGAACACAGACTGTTTACCAGTGAGTATTTGAAAGGATCCTGACTGCAGATAATGACGGAGAAACTGCGGATGAAAACCAACTAAAACCGCAACCCTGACAAATGAATTCACCATGTTTGAGCTTACAAATTTAACTTGTTATCTTGTGCCCAAAAATTGTGCCCAAAAATTTTGCCAGGACAAATTTGGACATTCGAGTCACGGCTATTTGATAACGTACTGTCCCACTATCTGAAATGCAAGGAATCAAATCAAACGACAATTATTATCAGGGCAAAAATAATCAAGGAATCAGGAGCACGTTTTTCTTCAAAACAATTCATATTTTGTCAGTAGTCGTGGCCGAGTGTTTAAGGCGATGGACTAGAAATCCATTGGGAAACTTCCCGCGCAGGTTCGAATCCTGCCGACTACGAATATTGCTCTCTGTTACTATAATTGTGCCACTGATTGTAGTAATGTTTCCACATTTATAACAATTGTGAGTTATGTAAACCTGTGGAAGACAAGTGACTCAGACTTGCCCAATGCAAAGTTTACCTCACTGAAATGATTACTTGCTAATATTATAAGTGAAAGTTATTTTAGATCAGCACATCAGAAGGGCTCGTTGGCCGTAAACCTTTTGCACAAGTTATCGACTATGCGTGTTCTGAATCATTTTTATTGTTTATTTATTATATAACTCATCAGCATCTCAAACTAGAACAAGGACACGATTCTCGAAGGGAAAGAGGGCAGCTGAGGGTGTTTAGAGATGTGCTCTCTTTGTTGTTCGGAAGAAGACAGAAATATAAAAGCGTAATTGTTTTCGAAATAATTTCAGACATTTGTTTTAAACTGAGCAAACACAGCTGTGGTATGATGGTACTTTTCTTTGATAAAACTTATAATTGAGTGGATGACACTGTCCACTTCATTGTTTTTCGTGTGAACGTTAACCAAGACATTGACTTCGACGTGATTTGATCACCAGCCTCTGATCTGGAGTCAGACACGTTACCGTTTCGCCACGAGAGGTGCTGATTTCTTCACACAACAGGAAGGTTTGTACAGCTGGAAAGAAAAGCAGAATAACACCAGGTTCGTTAAAAAATAAATTATTGAGAAATCTTCCAATTTATCAAATTAAATGTTTACATTGACGATGCAGTGAATAAACCCTGGAAAATATTATGTCTCTCTCCTACGGTAAATTTTCTGTGAATATAGCTTCTTGCACATCCCTGATTTAACAGAGACCTACGTGGCTTGAGCGATATAATTGCAAATTATTAAATGTGAAAGAGAAATGGAGGCGACGATATCGGAATTTCGAATTCAAAATGCTCATGGTTCCTTCTAGATTTCCGCCTTTCTTGACTGTATTAGAAAAAGAGATGACGAAATAAAATGAAACACCATAACTGGAAGTAGTATTTCAGTTAGTACTGTCATTTCTGAGCATAATGTGGACCACGTGGCCTAATGGATAAGGCGTCTGACTTCGGTGAACTTGAAGGCGATCAGAAGATTGCAGGTTCGATTCCTGCCGTGGTCTTTTGGCACAAATGTTTTTCTTATGATAAATGCATATTGTAAAGTAATAATTGTGTTCTCTTTGAATACGTGCTGCTGCACGAAAAATTAGCTGGAGGGTGTTGCTTCCAACAACAACAACTTGGATTCATACAGCGCCCTACAAGCCGGACGGCATCTCAGAGCGTTTACACCACCAGTGTTGCTGTTATGTGGCGCTAATAACGCCACTGTCGCGGTGTAGCTCCCACATATGGTCACAAATTTCATTTGTTAATTGTAGATTTTTTNCACTTTTGAAATTCAGAAGGAAAATGTATACTCGAGTCCCAACTTTTTGAAGTAAAAATATAAACACAGTCACAGAACAATTTCTTTGCAAAATTGTGCCAACTGAGGAGGAATCCTTGGATTTTTACCCAAAATTTTGTTGAGCATTTAAAGGATCTGCCACATAGCTACATCCCCTCCGCCACCTGAACACTGCTCAGTGATACTAATGTTGGAGCATAACAGTCCTGTCAATAATAATAAAAATAATAATGTTATTATTAAATATAAAATACATATAATAATGTTCTGTCAATAAATGTAAAGATTAAAGTGAAATCCTCTTGACCATTTACTTGATTTACCAGATGATATTGTCTCAAAGATTGTTCCAAATCTTTACTCACCACAAGTCATATGCTGGACGATTGATTTTTAGCTATAAAACAGCCATATGCCCTTATGCATAATGGAGTAGGCAATTTCTGCTAATGGGTTATGATAACAACATTTTTACATTCATGTAGCTCACGTGAATGTATCAAACTGATTTACAGTGTTAAGAGTCTCTAAAACCCAATTGAAAACAAACCGGTGTCCGAAAAATAAATGGTAGTTAAAGTAACAACCGGCCAACTGTACTGCAGAGACAGATTCCGCGACAGGACACAAATGACAACTGTCGTGTCTCCGATATCAATGTAGATTTTAACAAGGAACTAAAACGGTCGAAGAAAGAATTTTCATGAATTGACAGCAATGAATTGCAGTATTTCCGAGATAAACTAAACCTGTTGTTTAATCTGTAACGACTAGAATTGCGATGTACTTCATGCTGTGACAATCATGGCAACAATAAACAAAATTGGTGATGTGCGGGAATTCAGGAAGGCACCGCTGGGATTTGAACCCAGGATCTCCTGTTTACAAGACAGGGGCTTTGTCCCCTAAGCTACGGCGTCGTTGTCACATCGTTTCGTCTCATTCAACAGCCAGATGAATGCAACACTTTATCTAGTAATTTGGTTTCTGCCGTCACCTCAATTTCAACGGAATGACCACTCACCTCCTATCCTCTGATTCCCCCATTCCTCATCACGGCTTGACAGTTTTGTACGCCCTGATCCTAGCTGACACATACCCAATATGAACCCATTACTGTTCACTGTCCTGCAATATTCCCGCTGGGATCTCTTATCTCAATAGCATCCCCGCCTTCCCTTTCTCCGGGCTCTCCCACAGCATCTCTCCTGGGAATCCTCCGTCGGGACACGTGGTGGAGTAATTTTACTCACTGTGGTTGTGTAACAGGGGTTGCACTACTGGCCTCATCCCAGATTTTAACCGCAATGATAAGATGGCACATACCCCAGGAGTAAACCTTGTTTCGCTTATCCACTTCCCCACCCTTCGTGTTACCTCTCGTCGGCTCTCTCCAGCAAACTCTACTGCTGCCTGTCGCGTCTACAACGCCCGACAAAACAAAGCTCAGACAGCAACAAAGATCCCAGCATCATGGTCAAAAACATGTCAGTTGGTTGGCCAATACTTCGCTGATACTCTCATCCCACGCTCGATTTATAGCGAACTGGTCAGAAGACATCGAGAAAACTGCTTGCAGTTCTGGTCACCGGACTCAGTTTGGCTGCAAGCCCCTCAGCTCGGGGAGAGGACAGCAACGGGCCACAATGTTGGCAGAATGAGTGATCAGCAATTATTAGACAATCTGTGGCTCTTCTGCATTTGGAGAAAACAACATCTCAAAGGAGCTTCAGAGTGTTATATCAAATGTTAAATTGCATTGAAAGGTATAATTAGCTCCGTAATTTCGGATGTGGCAAGACAGTAAAGCAAGATGAGATATGTTCAGAACACATTCCAGCAAAGTGTTTCACTGTGCACAGGCAAATCAGAGGCTCGTATAGGAACCAGAAAGATGATATAGCCCAGAAAACCAGAATAAATTAAACGCATTTTGTGCAACGATAGGTGACGGTGGGCTGCGTGTTCCGAATGGATGGGATCCGATGGGACAAAACGGTCGTCTTCATCGAAACGAATCTTATGAACTTGGTCACGTCAAGAAGGCAACAGGTATGAGGAACTTCTGTTATGAGGAGAAACCTAGAGAAGCTAGAATTATTCTCCTTGGAGAAGAGAAGGTTAGGATGAGTCTTGTTAGAATTTATCAAAAATATGAGGGGATTCGACAGGTTGAAGAAGGAGAATAAATTTCCACAAGCGCGTGGGTCGGTAACCAGAGGACAGCGATTTCAAAATAGTTATTACAAGGAACAGAGCGGAGATGTGGTGTGTTTAGTCTCAGGCAACTAGTTCTCCGGATAGGGAATCCATTGCCCGGATTGCTGGTGGAAGCTGATTGGATAAAAACTTTTAAGAGCGAAGTAGATAATGTTTATGAAGGTCAAGTTTGCAGATCTATGGGGAGAGAGGGTGGGAATGCGATTGATTTGGGTAACTCTTGTTGCGGCCCAGACAAAATGGGACGAATGGCCTCCTTTTGTGCTTTATAATTTTATGATATGCTTGATCCAGTAGCCCTTCGCTGTTTTCAAAACCCGCCTGAAGGACAACATTCTCAGCTCCCAGCATCTGTGATTAAATCGTTTAAGATGTACTGCCAACGTGAAAGGGACCCAGTTACATGTAAGCTGTTTGCAGCATTGAGTTGTGGTAAACTTCATCCTTGTGACCCTTCTGTGCAATGCCGTTTAAATCAAAGGCGCACAATCTGTTATTTCTACACCATTGCGTCTTCAAATCAATACGATAAATTTGGTTTGAGCCACAGTTTCCATGGTGTAATGGTGAGCACTCCGGACTCTGAATCCAGCGATCCGAGTTCAAATCTCGGTGGAACCTTACATATAGCATAATTGGCTGCCGAAACCACACCAACCTCACAAGCCGATATACACCAGTTTTGTTTCTGATTTCGTCTGATTTGTTCACCTGAGCTTCAAAGAATAATGATGTCTGACTCGTGGTTAAGCTGTTGCATGTTACATCATATGCTGTAACATGACCTGACTGCCTCTGGTGAGCGAACCCGGCAGGCAATTTGCGCACAGCAATGGCCAATCACAACAAAAACAAGAGCTAAATTACATTTTCACATCTAGAGAACGTCCCAAAACCAACACTCCAGAAAGAGTGTGCATTTTCCATTCCAACAATTTATTTCTGGGGTTTCCACGTGTAAGTGGGATACATGGAATTATCAGGTTTGGATGCTCTGAAGCTCGGTGATAGGTTTTCTCAAGTGTCAGGCACTCGGTTGACAAAAATGTGATTAACCCCAAACCCCATCCCCACCCCGCCCCCACTCCATCCTTCAGCTGACTAAATAAATGTTTCTCTCCCCCACACCTTCTCCATTCGCTCGCACCCTCTCTGTCCCACTCTCTCAATCATTCTCATATTCCGAATCACCACTCTATCACACACAGTCTCTCTCGACTTCCACACTCTGTATCACGCTCTCTCTCACACTATTTGTTTACCTCCTCTCCACCGAGTCAGTCTTTACCAATCTCTCCCCTTTCTCCCACCCCGCTCTCTCACACACACTCTTTATCTCTCCTGGCCACAGTCACACTCCCCCTCTCACACACATCACTCTCACACACACTCACTCTCCTCTCGCGCTATCTTAAGCACTCACCCTACTTTCTGTTCAACACACTCTTTCTCCCTCTATCACACACATTCTCTCTTTACCTCACAAACATTTTCTTTCGCACTCCCCCTTTCTCACCGCACACTCACACGCACTCCGTCTCTCAAATCACTATCGCTCCATATCACAGCAGCTCTATCGGTCTCTCCTATTTCAATCAAACAATTCCTTCCCACTCTCACACTCTCGCCTCCCCCACTCTCTCAATTAATGCCGCACACCCCTCTCCAACACTCTGTTTGTCATACATTCTCACAAACATTCAGTCGCACGCACTCTCAAACATACGCTCTCTGCATCTTTCTCTTCCTCCCAGTCTGTTTCCACCACTCACTTTAGCCTTCTTACACACATTCTCTCACATATTCTTCCACTGCCACTGCCTATTTCTCTCTCGCTCTCCTTCACACAAACACCCCTCCCCCACACACACACGCTGTTAAAATCACTGTTTCTCTTGACTCTCGTCGTAATATCATTCCTTTCCCCTATTCCTGACAAACAATCACCCCGTCTCTCTCTGACGACGTACAGGCTCTCACACACACGCTCTTTCTCTCGATCATTCTCACGCTGATCGGCTATCTCCCCTATTTATCTGCACTAACCACGGGTCACTATGTAACAGGAGTCGGGGGTCACTATTTGGCAGGAGCTGCGGGTCACTAAGTGTAGTGATAGAAGCCGAGAGTGGAGAGGGAGGGAAAGAGAAATGGAGTGGAGAGAGAGGGAGGGATGCACTGAGGGAGGGAGTGGGAGGATAGGTTATTGGGAGGTGTTTGGTTTGGGGTGGGGGAGTGCGTGCCGTTGCGGATGTGGTTGAGAAATGGTGAAGAAAATAACAGTGTATAGTAACAGACAGCTTGTAGACTAACCGAGATCACAACAGTTTACCATTTATGGGACAGGAGTGATGTGTGGAGGAGCCACGTTGCGCCTTATGGAAATCAACATGTTGCCGTGCTGGGAATGGAACCCAGTTCTAACCACTGACAATGAGGTTCATGACTAAACTCTGGGTATCAGTTTAGTATCTGATATGCCTCCTATTTTCAGGTCTCGAGTGCAATGCCTTGCGAGAGGGACGATATAGAAATGCAAGTTACAGTTGTAGTTATTGTTGTCGTGCACCGTTTTTTCTTCACGTTTGTCAATATCATCCTCAGTCACCAATATCTATTGTAATCAAACTCTGAACTAAATAATGGTGACGGACATTCCAATTTAACTTTAACATTTACCCTTTGGCAAAAGGGTGGTTTTGACCACGCAAATCAGACTATTTGAGGCATTTGTGGAATGTTCCTCTCTGATAAAATTTAAGATAATCACCAAAAGAGCAATTTGGAAGAAATGACTGTACACAAATAATTGTGAGAATACCAAGAATTTACTAGAAATCTTATTGACGCGGAATCCGTATTTCAGGCTTCATGTAGAGCAGCCAATTGGCGCAGTTGAGCACTCGCCATTTACTCCTGGAGAATGAATTAAAATCCTTCAAGTTATTTAGGGTAATCGCAACTAACAGCTCATTTGCGGATCTCTGACTGTCCTCCTGAAGCGAAAGATGCTACAAAAATATCATGTTGTTGTTATTACTGCGTAGCTCTGTAGCTCAGTGGTTGGAGCAGTCGCCTCGCTTGTGAGATACCTTGGTTCGAACCCAGCAGGACAAAACGTTGGGTAAGTTTCTTACTCGATATACCTGTTCAGAAAGCAGGAAAGTGGTTGTTTGTTGATCGGTGATCCATTTTGTAGGGATAATAATTCCTTTCGAATAAATAATCACTGCTTGTTGGATACTGCTGTGCTTAATTGGCTTCAGCATTTTGTCCATTAAAATCCTTATCTGCACTAAATAAAGTTGACGTGCACTCTGTTTTATACAGTGAGACGTCTCGAAGACGAGATTAGCGGCTACATCAAATGCAAATATAGTTATTGTCACTGCAAAGTGTTCTGAGGAGGTAATCCTTAAGAAGACGGGGTGACGATTTGCTCCAATATCCTTGAAGTGATTGATTAACTTTCTTTGGAGAATCTTGGCAAGGATACGAGGAATTAACTCTTTTCTCTTTTTAAATAGTGACATGGCGTCTTTCCAGTCGAATTGAGCAGGCGGAGATACTCCATTTATCTTATTGTCAAGGAGTCACCTCTGGCAATTAAAAGTTCAACAACTGGAAGAGGAACGCTCAGTTACCCTTGGTGCCTCAGGTGTTATTGCTTAACAGTGTTTCTCTCTCCAAGAATTACATTTCCTACTCTCAATAATTTAATCTTTACCCTTCTTCTCATCTCTATAATTGATATTAAAAAAACGCGTTTCAATGTCTACCAACGAATTCAATTTCTTATGAGATGCCACGAAGGGCTTTTAGATACATTTACCACTCGGATTCCCTACGGGCGTTTCACAGATGTCTGAAATCTCTTTCAGTCGTCTCCCCGACAAGAATGCAACATGTGTTATTTGCGAGGATTATCACTCTCGTGTATGTTCCCTGGTAGTCTAGTGGTTAGGATTCGGCGCTCTCACCGCCGCGGCCCGGGTTCGATTCCCGGTCAGGGAAGCAGGTTTTTTNCCAATTGGATCCGGAAAATTGCTCGTGGACAAAAAAACAAGCATATATTACCTCCAAACATGTCTGCGCTTCACAACGAAAAGAGCAGTAATCCTTGCATTTGATTTAGCCACATATAACGTCTTCGAGATGATACAAAACGCTTCACCGAATATAGATCAATGTGAATACACTGTAAGTTTTGTAGGCAAGTGATCCCTGTTTTGCTCAAAAGAAAATTACCGGTAATATTTTTCTGTATTAATGACACACAAAAAATAACAACAATCAGCTTACTGAATTTTTGGAATTGTTTTGAGAATAAAATAATTCAGTGCAAACTTCCCTGTCACTTGCGCTTTGTTGCCACGCTTGAACTGAGCTGCTGGGAATAAGATTTTTCTTAGTAAGTGGTTGTCCGGGAGAATAAATAATAATAGAAATAACAATAATAATAATAATAATCCTTGCATTTGATGTAGCGCTTTTTACGTCTTTTAGACGTGCCAAAACACTTTACAGAATATACTGTAAAGTGAGTTGATGCCTCTGAAGTACTTGAATAACCTAACACTCAGTTGCGCGTAAAATACACGGAAGGATGACACTCACAACGTTGTATGGTGTATATCGGTAAGCGGAGATTCCTGTGATTCACTCAGCAAGTCAGGCCGCTGAGCTCAATAGTTTAGAGCGTGGTGCTAATAACTCCTAAATTCCAATCACCGTACGGGCCACAATTTTACTTGCTGCCCATTATGTCACATTAGCAGCAGTGCTGCGAATCATAGCAATAATCCTTGCGTTTGATAAAGTACTTCATCACGTCTTCATATTATCTCAAAGTGCTTCACAGAATAGGATAGTAAATTTACCGCATGTTTCGTTGGCAAAAAGCAACACCGAGTTGCACATGTTAATGTGCCACAACCAGTCGTGGAGTGAAGTGGCCAAACTTTATTTTTATTTAATTATTATGATTATTATTGTTATTCAAGGGATTATTATCCCAGAAAATACATTCGCCAATTGACTAAGAACCCGGTATAATTCTCGCAAGATAAACCGGTAAAAAATTTAATGAAAACCTTACCGTTATGAAGCTCATCTGAAATTATACGAAATAATATTAATAATGTTATTATTTAAAAATAATTCATTTTATAACCAAAAACAAAAGCTGGGGACAAATCTCCGTTCCCATACATGGACTCTTCAGTGTGAGAGCACTTTAAAATAAAGTGAACATCGAAATGTAAATCAATACTTCACAAGATCACTGATGTTCCCACTCGAGGCTGCTGGTTTTACGGCTTGTACTCAATCGAATATGGAAATCGGCAAAGTAACAATAATAATAAACAGAATATCTGATTAAACAAAACAGTGTAACTCAACATATTCACTATATATTTTGTGAACAATTTGACCTCTAAGTTTGGGATCAGTCTCACTGCTCTGCTCTGTCTCTAACACCGGGATCACTCCCTCTGCTCTCCTCTGCTTGTCTCACATTACAGCTTTGCTCACCGAACACACAGCGACATACTGACGACTGGAGGCACATCACAGCCTCTCACACGCGCACCCACAGCGCCGCCCTCAGAATTGGGGGCACATTAGAGCGTCTCACACCAACAGCTCGAACTCAGAACTGGAGCCTTACAGGCTCACCCTCTCTCTTTTTCACACAGACACGCTCTCTCTCTCTCACACACATACACACACGTACACACAGCGTCACCCTCAGCACTAGGGGCAAACTTCTGGCTCTCTCACACACTGCCGCAGTTCCATCCTCAGCACTGCGAGCACATTACTAGCACTCAAAAATACACAACTTCAGTTCCACTGTCAGCATTGGGTGACCAATATAACCTACCAAACACCCACTTCTCACCAGGGGCACTGGGTGCACATGACAAGTCCAAACCCTCCCTCTTTCTCTCTCTCTAACACACACACACTGGCACACCACACACACAGATACCCGCTGCTCTGACCACACATACAAAACGCCAAACTCAGCACTCGAGGCACACTACCAGTGAACAGAACAGCCACTTATATTGTCGTGACCTGAACAGTATTCAAGTCTCACTGATTTTCATTGCGCTCAGCTGTGTGCCATGTTGGAACTCATGACGATTAATAGTATACAAATTAAACGCATAGTTTTCTATGCAAGCCACCTAAACATGGGAATTGCCATTTAGTGGAATGGAATGCGCACCTTCTCCCTGAAGGATGTATCCCGATTAACCAATTACAGAGAGGAAAGTTGAAAATTGGCAAGACTGTGCACTGAGTTAATGCTGGATTATAACCAACTAAATCCACTGGGCTTGCGATTGAGACCACTGTCTAAAAAGCATTCCCAGCGTCCAGTTTAACCAATCCGAGAATAACGTATTTGGGGGTGGGGTAAGTGAGACTCTTTGGGACTAAGCTGGCAACAGAATTAGAGAATCGTAGAATGTTACAGCACACAAGGAGTTAATTCAGCTCGGCTGCCTGTTCCTGTGCCTGTGCAGGCTCACTGAAAGAACAGCTAATTATCTTCCAAGGGTAGAGTTTCCCAATGAGGTAAAACATGGGAGGCTCCAACCATCGAATGTTTGACAGAGCACGGCACCCATACCGGTCTCGGAACGTAAATTTGCGAAAATAAATTCGGCTTATACGTCAAGGATATGCATATTGCACACAGTTGATTCTAGGGCATCAGCGTTGCCTGACACCCATCAGAGTAGTTCACATGAATTCTTATTGACGGTTGATTTCTTTGTTAGACCGGGTAGCGTAGGGATCGTCCGTCTCGGAAATATTGATTTTAAATGTTTAGGATTAATAAAAATCGTTGCATTTGATATAGCGCTTTTAACGTCTTCTCGACACTCATTGCGCTTCACAGAACAGACTGTGAAGTGAATTACCGTAAATTTGTGATCGAAACGCGGCAGCCAATTGCACACAGCAGGGTCCCACAAACATTCGTGGATTGAAGTGCCCAATTTGTTTCCGTTTTTTGTTTTGGAGGGATTATCAGTAATAACCGGCTAGCCCGAAGTAAACAAAAGACCTGCTCTTTTGTCGAGGGAACGCGACAATGTAAAATACTATTTGTTTGCTGAAGTCTTCAGCTGCCCAATCCACAGGGGCATTTTCCCAGTTAATGGTTTTGGATTTGCAAAGAGCTCATTTGTCAGGGTTACCTGTTGGCGAGCCGCCTTGAGGGTATCCGGAACTGACGTCCTCAAGGGAACAGTTGTTTGGGTTCATGTTGCACATGATAGATTTGAGAGGAATGTGGTGTACAGGTTCGAAGGTGTGGAGGAAGGGGTGAATAGCGGCGGAAATGTGAGAAGATATTCAGCAGGAGGTGACAATTTGCAATGCCATTGGTAGCATGAGTGAGCATTATCACTTCTGCCACTGAATGTCAGTGCTGGCGTTCGTGACCGCTTTGTATAACGCTGAAAATAACAGACATGAATTAAGAAACAGCCCTCGTCTGCCCCTGACCCCAACTCTCAGGGTCACTATCTTGCTTGAGGGGTGCCAGAAAGTTCCAAGTTGTTGTTGTTGTGCGGCTGTTTTGCTGTCTGATTTGACTGAGCGACGTGGCTGTAATCGCGAGCAATGGAGTCCGAGTGGCTGCAGTCACTGAGCGAGAGAAGCGATAGTTGCTCTCACTATCCTCAACTCCGCACTGACACCATGAAGACCAGCTCAGCACTAACACCATGGTGTCCAGCTCAGCACTAACACCATGGTGACCAGCTGTGACTGAACTCAGTGTAGGTATAGTGAGGAGGCGTAGAGAGCTTCTGTTTTCATTCTACCTTTGTTTGACATCAGGATGGTCTGTGTGATTCGCACGTTCTCAGGCTGAGAGATTTTTTCAGGCTATTTTTTGCCAATGGTAAGGCATTATATAATAGGTGATCCTGCGTTCAATTATGATCTGATACAAATTTCCTTTGAAGTTGTAAAATTTAATAAAGGATTAGCAAGCTTATGCATCATCAAAATGGTACATTTCATCAAATCAAATTAAAACTTACTACGGGTTAGTGAAGTTCACTGCAATTGGTTAATCGCATCAATATTGTGCCTTTGATATAGGAATCGCTTTTGCTTTACTTCCCATCAATTCATTCTGATTAAATAACACAGGCCCTTACATCAACATCTATTAAAGCTGCAGCTATGCACGATCACTCTCTACTTTCATACACATTCCCCGTCTTTCTCCCTCTCTCTGTCCTTTCGTACTATTTTCTCATCTTTCGGCGTCTCTCGGTTACTTTCTCTCATTCACTATCTTTACCACCCCATCGCCACTCACACACTCTCTCGCCGCTTTCACACTCTTTTCCTCCATGTTACCTCCTCGTTCTCCCCCAGCCACCTCTCCACCACAATCTATCTCTCAGTCACACTCTCACTCTTCCCGATCTCAATCTCCCACTTCTTCCCCCGTCTCTTTCCTTCTGTGGCACAACTGTTTCTTTCTCTGTGAGACGCGCTCTCTCAATCACTCTCTCCTTCTCTCACAAAACCCACACTCCCTGCCCCTTTTGTTTCTCAATCAAAACTATCAGTCTACTCCTCTCACAATCACTGTATTCCCCTCTCTCTCTATTACATCCTGTCACTCCCGCTATTTCCCACACGCACTCTCCATCTGCCCTCTCACACAATATCTGCATCAGCCTCTGACTCTCACTGAGTCTCTCTCTCTCTCTCGGTCTCTCTTTTTCAGTCACTCACTCAGTATCTCCCTCAGTCTCATTCAATCACTCAGTCTCATTCGATCACTCTCTTTCACTTTGTCTCACTGAAGTTCTCTCCCTGTCTCAGTCCTTCTCTGAATCTCTCAAACCGTCCCTCACATTCAGTATCTTTATCCCTCACTCCGTCTCCCTTTACCTTTCTCTCATACAGTCTCGGACTCAGTGTCTCTCCCTTACTCAGTCTCTGCCTCACTCATTCTATCTCAGTCTCTAACTCAGTCTCTATCTGCGTCATGGAGACAGGAGAAATGAGAGCCCCATTGAAGTGAAACTGAAGCTGGATATCAATATAAGTGATGATGAGTTGATAGGGCGAGGAGAAAAACAACTCATGGCCACTGGCCTTTGCATTAAACCCTGACTGTGGCGTAGACAGGACCATCGTTCTCCCGGGCTTCGCGGCCGATCTCATTCCTGTTTCCTAATGCCAGATTGGCGTAGATGATCTCAGCGTCCTGCAAACAGGCAAAAAATCAGCACATCTGCTGAAGATCAGTTAGATATCCGACTCCCGCCAGCCCCACCAACCCGAACTCGCCGACTCACAGCTCCGATATCTGATTGTCTTCACCCACCGAACCCCCTCCCACTCATTCGCGGATTTCTGTAAGTGGGAATTGATCCCGGATATATCCACTAGTAAGTTAATAGGAGCCAACGTTATGATAGAATCTTGTATTAAACGTTACCCCTGAGGTGAATGGCGTTATTTCCATGTAAAATTTATGTAGAACAAACAGACGTACAGACCCGCACAAACACAAAAATCACACACTCAGACACATACACACACACACAAATACGCAAGCATAGAGACACGCAAATACTGGCAAGCAGACAATGACAGACACACATATAGATAGACAGACACATACAAAAAAAACATGTTTTTCACGGTGCGAGAACGGCTCAAAATGGTTTACAACAATTATAATCAATCATAGGAACTTTATATCCAAAATGAAAAGCAGCAGCCAAGTTTTGCAAGGAAACATCCTGTAAACACACAGTCATTCCTATATGCGGTAAATCCTGTGAAGCGCTTTAAGACAGCCCCGTCATGTAAAATTATGTATTGCGAATGCAAGGATTCTTGTGATTTATATGAAATGAACGAAATCAATTTGTCGGCCAGGATAATGGGAGATTCTCCCTTCTCTTTCTCAGTATTGCGAAGGTCCTGACATTGGGGATAAACACATGAATTTCTACTTCAGGCGAGAGTGCTGTCCGCTGAGCCAGAGTGACGAAGAGCACCAGCAGTGTTGAGCCATGTTAGTAGAAGGCCTGAGCGAAACTGACATAGCGTCTGAGCTGGGCTGAGCCAGGCTGACACAGCTGAGCCGGGCTGACTCAGTGTTACGCTGAGCTGAAGAGGGGCATGAGCAAGGCTGATACAGGGTTGAGTTGGGCTGATACATGGTCAATGATCCAGTGACTACTCACCGCTGGAGGGACCGAGCGTGGACCTAATCCCAGCGTCGCGTCTAAAACAAACGAAAACGGGATTTATCACCAGCACAATTCAATAAACTCACGGCTACTTAGTATTATTGAAGATATCAATGAATAAATTGAACCATTATGAATGATCATGACATTCATAATTATTATGCGAACAGTGATATGTTAATTATTATTTCATTTGATAACACCTTATCATGACCTCAAGAGACGCAAAGGGTTTCATGGTATTCATGGTGCAGAGCAGTTGCTGTTTACTTTGTGAGTGGAAAACGTCAGGTGCACGTGCCCAGTATCCCCACAAATGCACACACACACAGTGAGTGAACGATATTTTTTTGACCGATTGTTGGCCAGAGAGAGATTGTTGGTCGGGAGTGACAAATTCTCTTTTTTGAATAACGCCGTGGGATCTTTAATGTCCACCTGAACAGGCAGAAGTGACCTAAGTTTATACTACTACTACTACTAAAATAATAATCCTCCCGCTTGATATGTGGGCGTCTGGCACATGGCTGACCAGGTCCCTTTCTCATCAGCTACTTTCCCTCTGGGCTCAAACCAAGGACAACTATTACTCACATGTGACGTCGTTTTGTGGGTCCGTGGTTGCATTCCTGAGAAAAAAACAAATAGAGAGGAGATAGCGATAAATTCACTGCTGTTTTGCTGATAATATTCACAGAGCTCCAAACTGGACTTGTCACCGGATAACCACCAACTATTATCTCTCATCTGGGGGAAGGACGCGGATGCGGCACTTACAGAATTACACTTGAAGATGCATCACAGACACATGGGGTCGATGGCCGCCTGTTGTGCTGTCGCTGTCTCTGGTGCTACAGTTGGGAAGGCTGCCGGAAATTTGCCAGAAGGTGAGCTCAAAAGTTGATTAAACGGCGGAGCGTGGTAACAGGTTTCTGTGTGTCAGACAGCCCGTGGACACAAATTTGTGTGTGTGTTGGATTAGGCGGGTGGGGTTCGGGGTGGCAATCAGGTGTCTGACCTTGGAAATCCATCAACATTGTTATTAGTATCCACACCAGAGGATGAATTCCAGACATGCCTCCTACACATGGGAATTCCTTAGTTTCTAATGATTGAGCAGTAAATCTGCAAAACTGATCACCATGAGCACAAGCCACGGGCTGGCAACAATCAGAGTTTGCCGACAAAGAAGTGTACATTGCGTTAACTGACGGTGTCCTACCAACTAAAACCCCAGAGCTTGCTCCTGGGAGCTCTGTCTGGGAACCTGCCACTGCTTATCGAGTTAAGACCACCCAACACTTTAGGGATTTGTCTTACAGAGTAGCAGTAGCTGAGTGGACGGATTCATTGCTCCCAATATCTGGTCTGCCCTCCGATTCTTGCTGATGAGTGTTGGAGTGATGACCAGTACAGATAATCTGGGGACAGATCTGGGAATGGGATTAAATTGGGGAGCTCCATTGGGGTGCGAGCATCAGCATAGACGCAATAATAATAATAATAATCCTTGCATTTGGTATAGCGCTTTTTACATCGGGAGGACGTCTCAAAGCGCTTCACGGAACACACTGTAAAGTGAATTGACTGTATATTTGTGGGTGAAGCGGCAGCCAATTACGCACAGCGATGTCCAACAAACAGTCGTAGATTGAAAATGACCAATTTATTATTGTTTTTGGTTTTGGAGGATTATTATTAGGCTCTGTGTGGAGTAATGAAACTTTCCAAAAGATTGGGGTAAGAGTCGGAATGTGATTAGTACAGAGACCTGCAGTGGGCACACCATCTGCTCTGAAAGGATTCGGAGAGAGCATGGAATAAAGGAGAAAAGTGCTGACCTTTCCTCTCTTGGACTTTTCTGTTTACCTGCAAGTACAGAGTATAATAAGTGTGAAATATCCATCAGTACAGGTTGTATGTTATAAAAAAATAATAAACCCCCCTTTCCTCCAGCGTCAAAAGCACTTGATAGGCAACAATCCACACTCCAAGCCCCACAATCGCCATCGGTAGACGTGCCTTCAGCCACTCCGGCCCTATCCTTGAAAATGCATTCCAGATTCCTTCTGGTTTGCCCCTCGCTACCACCCTCACTCACCAAGACCCATCACTTCAACCGTCTCCATTCTGTGTAATGCACACTATAAACAATTTTAATTTTTTTTAGTTATTATTCTCTACAATATCTTATCATATCATATTATTTTGTGAAACATAATCTGCTAATTGTAGTGGAATATAATTAGATTTTGATACAAAATGCAACAGAACAAGATCTGTTCAGATAGACCCCTCAACCATCTAAAATCAAACAGGAAATTGTGATAACGTAAACAAAGGCATATCAATCTAACGCAGAACTCTCTAATCACTCCCAACAACAAATGAGTTGACAAACACCGAATACTGGTTCGGTAGCTTTGTTCTCACGTCCCCATCTGCAGTCGTTGACAACAAAGTTTAACAATACGCAGAGGTTAGTTCCGTTGTTGTCTCTTAATTTTATTCCCAATATTTGTACACTATATTGACTGATATTCAGGGCCACTTACGTCTCTTATTAGCACAGAATCCCAGTATAAAAACAGTTATCACTATCGCCGTGACAACCCCCGCAACCAGTCCTTCAGTGTGCAGCCAGGTCAAGTTTACTGGGAGGGAAATGTACAAACAGTAATTTGTCGACATTGAAGTGTTAATTTGGGTGGAAAAACTTATAATTTTAAAGACCTCAGTTAGTTTGCGTATCCTCCTGATGTGAAGGAACACTGGAAAGTAACCGTTTCTCTGTTCCAAAAGAAAATAGCTCTCGTTCCCATATTCTGTACTCAAGAGAAAAGCCTCCCCTAAAAAAAGGGAGGGGGCGACTAGCAGGATCTATTTGCATGATGCACTGGTGAGTCGCCAAGCAGTGAAATTTGGAATCGATTCCCAATTTGTTGGTGGTATCCAGTCGACTCCCTGAGCCGGGCGTGTCTGCAGTATTCCAGGGTATTGATATTGAAACTACAGTCCTGCTCGTCGGCAAGAAGTTGCGCAGAAGATTGGTCACTCAGAGCTGGGATTCTTCCAAATGGCTTTAATACTGCAGTCAACGTGAGCGGGTGGTTCTCCCCAGAGAGGAAGAGTTTGTGTACCACATTGGATTAATGATAAGGTATGTGGTGTAGTTGGTTAAATAACAGGAACATTTAGCAGAAATTTCTGGGTTCACCAATTCTTGTCTCACAGAATAAAAACACGTTATAATGTAATGAAAGTGAGGTTCAGTAATAGCGTCTTTCTATCTGGAAAGGACGGAGAGTTTACATCCTGTCAGCCATGTGAGGATCACTCAGGAGTTTGGTTTGGAAACTGCTTTATCGCGTGGGAACATATCCGCCCAATCTCAAACACCGCAGCCAACACTAGGAGGTAACATGGAAGAATGACCGATGGTGTAAAGTGTGGTTACAACAGAAACTGCTGTCAATGGTCAAAATGTAAACAGATAATGTTGGAAGATTATACTCAGCCCTTACCCCGCAGAGGTACTTCCAATCTCTCGCTCTCTGGTGATGTGAACTGTCGTCTGTCAGTATATGTGGCATATATGCACGTGTAATTTCCTGCCGTGATCTCCGATGGGGTAAAAGTGGCTGTGTATTTATTCTCTGTTGCTGGTTGTGATATGATAAACTCGCCATTTCTGTATAAAGAGAAATTGCTACCAGGATAATTCCCAGAGCACGAAATCTCAGCGCGTTCCCCTCTGGCAAACCCCTGGGTATCCGGCTTAAGGGAAATGTTGGGTTTCTGGAGGGGATCTGGAATGAAAACACATTAAAGATAATCTCGCAAAGGCTCGCTCTTTGACATGAAAACAGTACAGGTCAGAGTAAAAGTGACCGTTTGCTTGTTTCTCAGTCTGGAAGAGGCGCAAGGCATGGGGGAGGAGTTGAGGGGCAGGTAGAAGACAGAAACTAGTTCGTGTTTCTTTACACAGAAGGAGGGGGAGCAACGGCTCCAAGTGGCGTGGCCAAGGAGGGCGGAGCTGGGGAGACACAGAGTTTCAGCCTTGGATGGCAGGACGGGAATACAGTATGAACCTCTCATGTGTTTTTCAGCAAAGATGGTGGAAATCGCTGTTTGATGCTAGGATTGAATCAGCTAGTCTGGATACATTCAAGATATAGTAAAACATTCAAATGAGGGGAATTAGTACAGGGTTTTGAAGAAAGTAACAGCAGCTGAACAGGACACAATCAGATGAGTTTGACAGCGGAATATCAGAACTAATTACACGGGGATTGATCTCTACACTGGTTCCTGAGCCTAGTTAGTTCGCAGTATTCCAGAGCATGGATGATGACAGCAGACACCAGTCGGGTTCATCTGCAGCTCATTGCACTCTGCTCCTGTTAACCCTGCAAACTGCAGCCCTGGCAGTTAATGTGGTGCTCGATGGACAAATGGCGGGAAAGCTTGCCAGTGGCCATATCAATAGGAAGCTATCTGCACAATCAGGAGTGGTTTGTGTGGGGTGCGTGGGCTGATTGGAGGGGAAATGGGTGAAAAGAAGGAGCAACGTGAGTAATGGGAACAGCGGGAACGTGAAGGACGATAAAAAGGAGCCTGGGAGAAGAGGGTGGTAAGAGAGTTTGGGGAGACCGATGGTGAGAGCGTTTTGGCACATATGATGCAAAGAGGTGGCAGAGATGAGGAAGAGAATGAGGGAGAGAGGGGTGGTTTCTGGAGATGAGGTAGAGAGTGGAAGAGAATGGGGCGTGATGGATGAGAGCGGGGAGAGGCAACTAAGTGGGGATAGACGGGAGAGAGGGTTGAAAAGTGGCAGAACGTCTGAGGGGGGGACAGTGTGGGAGAGAGGCGGGAGGGCGAATGGAGTGTGAGGGGCTAAAGATTGGGAGAAGGGGTGCAGTGGAATGTGTGGGTATGGAGAAAGTGGTAAAAATGGGTCACCGGAAGTTCATAGGGAAATTTGATCGAACGTGCAAAGAATGCTTATCACGGGAGCTGTTGTAAATGGTCGAAAGACAAACAGGTTATTGTTTGAGAATTTACGCATCTCCTACCTATCACAGAGATTCCCGCTGCTTCGCTCTCTGGTGATGTGAACTCTCGGCCGTCTAGTACTTTAGTATATTTACAGGTGTAATTTCCTGCACTGATCTCCGATGAGGTGAACGTTGCTGTTTTGTTATTCGCTGGAACCGGTTGTGATGCGAGAAGCTCGCCGTCTCTGTGTAAAGAGAAACTGCTGCCAGGATAATTCCCAGAACAAGAGATCTCAACGCTGTCCCCTCTAACAAACTCCTGAAAATCTGGATTCAGGGAAACTTTCGGTTTCTGGAGCGGATCTGGAATTAAAACAAAGTGAAGATAATCTCACAAACACTCGCTCTGTAACACAGATCACGGTTCAATTCAGAGCAAAAGTGTCCATTTGGTTGTTTCGCCGCATGGAGGAGGAGACAGGAACAGAGGGCGGGTTTAACGAGCAGCATCACTACAGACTCAATCAAGTACTAATTTACACAGAGGGAGCGGGAGCAACGGCTGAGAGCGGAGTGGCCATGGAGGTCAATGATGCTGGGAAATGGACAACATAGCGCTCCAACCTGGCAGGATGAAGGGAATTTGAACTGCACTGATCGTGTGATCTTCAGCCATGATATAAACAACAGAATCAGATCACAACCAGGGAATCAAGAAGAGAATTGAGGAGTATCGACTTTACACACAGGAACTTGAGATTGTTCAACTGGCTGTCTGAAGCTAGGATTGAATCAAATAATCTAGATACATTCAAAACGTAATAATAATGGTAATAATCCTTGCATTTGATATAGCGCTTTTCACGTCGGGAGGACGTCCCAAAGCGCTACACAGAAAACACTGTAAAGTGAATTGACTGTATATTTGTGGGCGAACGCGGCAGCCAATTGCGCACAGCAATGTCCCACAAACAGTCGTAGATTGAAAATGAACAATTTATTATTGTTTTTGGTTTTGGAGGGATTATTATTAGGCTCTTCGTGTAGTAAGGAAACTTGCCCAAGGTTTCGCCCTCCCTGGAATTGAGCTCAGGTCTCTCGCTTGCTAAGCGAGTGCTCGAACCACTGAGCTACAGGACTCCGTAGTGAGACCTTCACATTAGTGAAATGGGAGTAGAGGATTTTGAAAATATTGGGGTGCGGGATGCAATGAAGTAGAGAGGAGTAGAAGGAATGGTAGAGTGTGAGAGGGTGGGAGGGAGGAAAAGGAAGTAGAAGAGTTGTTGGGAGGAAATGAGGTTGTGGGAGGGTATCAGGTTGTGGACGCGTTACAGGGAGTGGGATGGAAGTTCTGGGAGCAGTGAGAGTGAGGAAGGTTGTGCGTGGGAGGGAATGAATGAGACAGCTGTGGAGAAGAAGGGAGCAATGCAAAGAAATTCGTGTAACAAAGCGAGTAAAGGAAGATAATAATTTTGGTAAAACAAGTGTCCATGGTTGTAGGAAGAGCGCTGCCGAACGGGATTCAATGGACTAGATAGTTCCGAAGAATCGGCAGAGGCACGACTGGCCGAGTGGACTCCTTCTTTGCAGCATAATTCTATGATAATATTAAGAAAAGTGAGGATGTGGCGGAACACGAGATCTCAGCGCTTTCCGCTCTCATAAACACCCAGGAATCTGGCTTCAGGGAAATGGCGGCTTTGTGGAGCGAATCTGAGTTAAAACACAAAAAGATAATCTCACAATCACTCTCTCTTTGACACGGAAACGTTTCATGTCATATAAGAGTGACCATTTGCTTCTTTCCCCGTCTGGATGTGGCTTCATGGGAAGGATACTAGGGGCAAGTTCAGGACAGACCCCGTCAAGTGTTTCTTTACACAGAAGGAGAGGGAGCAACGGCTGGGACCGTCATGGCCATGGCGGGCAGTGTGGCCGTAGATTGGGGCAACACACAGCTACAGCAAAGGACGGGATACCGGGAATTCAGTCTGAATCTCTCATGTGACATACAGGCGTGTTTTAAACTACAGTGTAAGATCACACGCAGGGGATCAAACGGAAAATTTAGGAGCAGACTTAACACAGGGTAGTGAGATGGTGGTAATTATGGTCTAAAGCGGGATTGAATTCAACAAAAACAACAACATCTTGGATTTATATAGCGCCCTCCACGCCGGACGGCGTCTCAGAGCGCTTTAGAGTTTAGGATCCCAGCACAGCATAGACACTTTCAAGAGGAAGCCAGAGCTGCACATGAGGGAGAAGTCAATGAAAGGTATGGGGGGGATTGAGCTTTTGGGAGGAAGTCGGAGTGAGTTTGTGGGAAATATAGAGGGTGTGGGAGGGAGAACTCGAAGTTAAATTGGGATGAGGAACATAAGGTATGAGGCGACGGGGAATAGAAGGTTTGGGAGCAAGTGGGGGAGAGAGTGAAGAATGGATGGAAATTTGTATCACTGAGCGGTTGGAACATTAATGAAGATGTGTGTGTGAGTGGGGGGTCGAGTATGAGGGTGGGAGTTGGGAGTGGACCTGTGATCGACGCTAATATAAACCAGGGGCAGCGAACAATGATTTCACAGAATCGTGAGGGAAACAGAAACAGGTTATGATCTGACATATTACTCAGCTCTTACCCCATAGAGAGATGCTCACTTGCTCGCTGTCTGGGGATATGAACTCTCTTCCGCCCATGTGTGTCCTATAATTACACCAATAACTTCCTGCACTGATCTCTGATAGGGTAAATGTTGCCGTTTTCTTTTTCTCTGGAACTGGTTGTGATGTGATAAGCTTGTCACTTCTGTACAAAGAGAATTTGCTGCCAGGATAATTCCCAGAACAAGAGATCTGAGCACTTTCCCCTCTCACAAACACCCGGTAATCTGGCGTCAGGGAAATGATGGGTTTCTCTAGCGGATCTGAAATTAAAACACAATAAAGAAAATCTAACAAGCATTCTCTCTGATCTTTACTATGACAGTGAGCTTCAGGGTAGACAATGAGACCAGTCTCAGCCTGTGACACATTTTCTGTGTGAGGTTTAATACGAGGCCAAATAGTGGACTGTTCTTAATGTGGGTCTTTCATTAGACGTTGCAACTAATCAATTTTCTCTGATGTTAGGGTCAGGATTTCTTTGAACTCGGGGTCTTGTCGATTCCCACGACTGCTGTTTATTTGGAGGTTACAGATCTCGTGGCAATGTTAAAAACCAGAAGCGAATTTTTATTGGTGACTTGGCCAAGAATCTCCAAAATAATTTGAAATTTAATTTAATGATTAATTTCACGGCTGTTTGCGGAGCCTGAGTTTTTTTCCAATTAATAGTCACTATTTGTCATTGATTTAAACTGCTCTTGTTTTGGGGAAATTCAGCACATTGGGACTTCCTCCCGACATAATATGAACAGCGCTGGTCACTTGTTGGTGTTGGTGTAAGGACCTCAGTACGTCACTGTTAGTCTATCAAAAGTCACAAATCAATGGAAGCAGAGAATTGACACCTCGTGTGACCAGCCGCTCAAACTGTGCCCAGCCCTCACCCTGTGATCAGACATCCCGCCAACGTGCTCAGGCTCTGCCACTGTGCTCAACTCTCCCTTCTGTGCACACCCGCTTACCATGTGCTCTGCCCCTCCCCCTGTGCTGACCGTCTCCCCTTGTGCTCAGCCCCTGCCCGTGTGGTCAGCTCGCCCCTGTGCTCAGCGCCACCCAGTGTGCTCTGCTCCTCCACCTGTTCGCAGGCAATCCTCTGTGCACAGCTCCTGCACTCTTCTCGGGCCATCCCCTGTGCTTAGCACATCCCACTGTGCTCATCACAATGAGCTCACGACTCTGTGCTCAACCCTCGTTACCTGCGCCCACCCTCTGTGCTCATCCACTGAGCATCCACATTGCTTCTCCCAATAGGACCTACCCACTGTTCTCCCCCAAATTGCTCATTCCCCTGGTCTCATGACCCACGGTGTTCAGCCACAATACTCACCCAACTGTGCTTAACCCACCCCACAACTGGGGTTCTACGTGAGGCTCCGCATTCTCCCTGTGCTCAGCCATTATGCTCACCCACATGTGGTTAGCCCTCCCCACTCCTCTTCTTCTATATCAGACTCCGCCATTCTCCCCATCTTAAGACACTAATCCTTCGATTAACCCCTCCAGTGTGCTCAGACCCTTTTTCTGTGTTCAATCGTTCCACTGTGACCAGTCCTTCCTGTGAGCTCAGCCCCGCCACTCGGCTCTGCCCGTACACTGGACTCAGACACAGTCCCTCCCCCTATGCTCAATCACTGTCTCTGTGCTCAGTCCCTCCACTAGGATTAGCCCCTGCCCTCCGACCCACTCCCCCCGCCCCCATTGCTCAGCGCACTAACACGCCCACTGAACTCAGCCGATCGCCCTCTTATTAGCCCTCCCGCAGCGCTCTCCCCTGCCACTGTGCTCCAGTCCCCCGGTACTCAGCCCTCCGTCTGTTCCCAGTTCTCCACCTCCACTGAGCCCAACCAATGTTATCCGCCCAGCCCCAGGAGATCACGCCTTCTTGCATTCAGCACGAGTAATTGTGTACAGCCTGGTGCTCACCCATTCTGTGCCAGTCTCGTTGCCCCTCACCGTGCGCTCCAACCATGTGCCCCACAACTGTGCTCCCCCTACTGTGCTCGCCCTCGTCTGCTTTCCCCCACTATGCTCATTCAGCCTGTCGTCACCTCACTATGATGCCCCCACCTGTGTTCACCTCCAAGTATTCAGTCTCTCGCCTTCTTCATCTGTTCACAACACTCCCACAAGGTCCTCACCCATCCTTTACTCATTGACCCCTATGCAAACCCGACTTTGCTCAAATATCTGTTCTGATCGCTGTTTGTTCAACCTTACTCTGTGCTAAAACATTTTGCTCACTGTCTAACCTCTATGCGCACCATCAAAGCTCAACTTTAATGTTCACCACTCAACTTGTGCTCAACAGCACCGTGTGCTCACCATCCTGTACACTTTCTACATCCCTCACTACTTTGCACATCTCCACTGCTTTCACACTGCGATTACCCTCCTGTTTTCCCCCGCCTGCTCCCCTCAATTAAGATGACTTTCACTGGGCTAACCACCCTCCCTTCGTTGCGCCCCTCTGTGCTCATCCCACTGTAATTAGCCCTCTTTCCTCTTCCTGTACTGTGCTCATCTCGTTGTCTTTACCCTCTATTCTCAACCCCACTGTGCACCCTCTTTTCTCACACCTCCCTGTGCTCAGCCCTTGTTCTCATCGCTCTGTGCTCACAGCCCCTGTGCTTCCGCATTTGTGTTCACGCCTCCCTGTGCTCACAGCCCACACTGTGCTCCCTAGTTTGCTCATCCCCAACCTGTGCTCACCCCCTTTGCTATCCCCTTCTTTCATCATCCCCATGTGCTCAACACCCACACTTTGCTACCTCCTGTGAGCACCACAGACGCTATTCTCACTGCCACAGTCTGTTCATCTGCTGTATTCGCTTCTCCGAGTGATCAGACACTCAACACATCGCGTGACCTCACTCCGACTGTTCTCAAGCCACTGTTCTCTTACCCGTATGCTCAACACTCATTTGTCAACCAGCTGTACTCACCCCAACTTTGCTCACACCCGTGTGCCCTCATTACGCTCGCCCACTAGTGCTCGCTGCGCATTGATCTGCCCCTTGTGCTTACCCTTTCCTCCTTACACCCGACCCTGGAATCACACTTCTGTGCTCACCTCGCACTGGGCTCACCCCGCTTTGCTAAACAGCCGACTTTGCTCCCTGCTCTTTGCACCACTCCCCGTGTACTCCGCACTGCGCTCACTCCCACTGCCCACCGCTGTGTGCTATCACCCCTCTGCTAAAGGCACTTTGCTGACTAACCTGTGCTCAAACCATGGGATCACCCACATGTTCACACAACTGCCTGCGCTCCGTACCGTGATCTTACGCGACTTTTTCATTCCACTTTCCTCTCCCTTCTATCATGCGCTCCCGCGCCTAAGCTCACACTCCTGTGTTTCCCACCCCACACACCTCCCCGTGTTTGCCCTCTATTTGCTCACCGCACTGTTCACAAACATGTATTCACACACCTGTTATCACCCACCAGTGCTCACGTCCTGTTCTCACGTTCCCTGCACTCAAACTCCACTGTGCCCCCCGCCCTGGGATCAGACACTGTGCTCATCCTCTTGCTCAAACCCCTCTGTGATCCCCACACCTTGCACTCACCCTGTGCTCAACTTCTTTTGTTCAATCACCTGTGGTCACCAACCTCCCTCACCCAACGCTATGCTCACCCCAATGTGTGCGCTCTGTTCCTGGACCCTGTGATCACATTTTTGTTTAAATGCGCCCAGTGATGATCCACTTGTGCGACGCCTGTTCTCAACCACTGAACTCAACTCTTTTGCTCAACCCATTTCGCTCGGTGCAGTGTGCTCCCCACTTAATTCTCTCCTTGTGTTCCCTCCCATTGGTCCACCCTGTGATCACTCTTATCAACTCCCGCCCATGTGATCACTCCCATTGCTCTTCCTCTTTTCTTAAAACCCCAGTTCTCACCCGCCTGTCCTCCAAAAATTTGTTCTCAAATGCTCACATCCCTGTGCTCACCCACTGTGCAAGCACCAATTCCCTTAACTCCCTATGTTCAGAGTTTACCCCCTGCACTCAACGCACTGTGCTCACCTCTCTATCCTCAGACTCTGTGCTCACCTCACACCCCTCCGCCAAATGTTCATTCCCCATTTGCTTCCTCCTCAACCAAGCTGACTCTCATTTGTTCATCCTCAGTGATCACTCCCCTTTGATCAACACAAACATTTGCTTATCCCCCTTCCACTCAACCTCTGTTCTTCGCCCACACACCTCTCTCCCCGCTTTGCTTACCCCATGTTTACACCACCCTGACATACCCCTCCTCTGTTCAGACCCTGTACTTCCCCCTGTGCTCAACACGCTCCCCCCCGCCCCACTGTTGTTACTGCCCAAACCTCAAGCCCCTGTAATCACACCTTCCTGCGCTCAGATCCCTGTGCTCACAACTGCCCCATGAGGGGAGCAACGGCGGGAAAAACAAGTCAGGGTAAGCACAGAGAAGTGAGCACAGAGCACAGATCGCAAGTTTTGTGCACAGTGCGAGGGCACAGGGGTATGAGCACAGGGCAGGGGATTGCGCTCAGAAGGGCAGCCGAGTGTTGGAGCAAAGAACATTGAGCGCAGGTGGAAGAACACAAGAGTCGAAAGAACAGCGTATAGCTGAGCGCAGGTGTGAAGCACAGGGGATGGACAAAGTGCAGGGTGAGAACAGTGGCGGGTGCCAAC